CTATAGCAAAATAGTGCTGGAGGCATGGCTCAAGTGGAAGAGTGCCTGACTGTCTAGCAAGCCTTGAGTTCAATTCCAAGTACTGCTCCTTCCCCCAATAAAACTCAAAGGATAGTTACAGGACACAGAAAACAAAAAACTCATGGTAAGTTTTAATTCACACAGGAAATAAATACATATGACTCCAAATATAGAAATTAACAAAAGAGTTTATCGGAAAAAGTTTCTAGGGGCTGGCAGTGTGGCTTAGTGGCAGAATTCTTGCCTAACATGTATATAACCTTGGGTTCGATCCCTCAGTACCACATAAACAGAAAAAGCCAGAAGTGGCATTCAAGTGGTAGAGTGCTAGCCTTGAGCAAAAGAAGCCCAAGCCCTGCCTGAGTTCAAGGCCCAGGCTGACCAAAAAAAAAATAAAAAAGAAAAAAACAGAAAAAGGAAAAAGTTTCTATATTATTATTGTATTGTAGTTTTACAACTATTTTTTTCCTTAGGCAACCAATATTACTGGCTTTTTGTATAACTGTCCAAGGATATCTTACATACCTATTAGTGAATATGTATTTAGTCATAGTAACTCACTATGTATATACTGTTCTATGGCTTAATTCTTTTACTTAGTAATATATCTTAGAGATTTTTTTCAGTTAGTACACAGAAAATATAACTTACTATAAAACCAGTCAGAAAGAGCTTTAAAAAAAGACCTACTCTGTCCAGGGAATGGAAACGAGGTTTTTTTATTTGTTGATGTTTTCCTTTATTTTTGTCTTGTTTGTTCATTTGTGTCTTTGGGAGGGCAAGGGGATCCCGGCACAGAAATGGAGGGACACAGGGTAAACAAGAGTAGTAGTGGCACTCAATAGACAGACACTATGTTGAAAATGAGCTATACAACTTGTGGGTGGGAATGGGAGGGAAAACTGGGAGAGAGCAAGGGAAGGCATAACATTTTCCAAAAAGAAATGTGTTCTTTACTTAACTTATGTAAGTGTAACCCCTCTGTAATCACTTTTATATTAACAATAAAAAATTTAAAAACCTTACTTTGTTACTATCTATGAATGCATTTTACATATATCAAACTTAAATGGACATGTTCCCACATCCATAAAGTCAGTCACCCCTTGTGCTTAGCCAGGAATGACAGAATGACTCATCTAGATTCTCATGGGCACATAACCGTCTGGTTTAGCTATTGTGACATTTTCTGTAAGGAAAAAAATCACCTACCACAGAGAAGGCATTTTAAAAATGTCTGAACGAAAGAAAGAAGGAATGAAGGGATGAAAATAAGAAATGACTCTAGAACATGTGGGTGCAATGGCAGGGGTTGACTTTGTAAGCAAAGGGGCGATCTCCAGACCTTACAACTCATATTTGGAGTAAGAGGAAATAAACTTCTTGAAGGAAGGTATCAGGAGAAGAGTAGCCCTGGATTTTGTGCTGAAGGCCTTACAAATCAGTGAAAGGTTTCTTCTCTTTTCTGACTCTGTGGTTCTCTGACTTTTATGCTTGTTTATTTCAGAACAGCATCACAGATACAGGGGTGGCTGAGAAATGTTTCTTTTGGAGCCAAAAGTTAAGGGAAAGTGGCTCAGTGGTAGAGTGCTTGCCTTGTATGCATGCATGAAGCCCTCAGCACTACATAAGCAGAAAAAGCTGGAAGTGGCATTGTGGCTCAAGTGGTAGAGTGTTAGCCTTGAGCTGAAGAGCTGAGGGACAGCACCTAGGCCTAGAGTTCAGGCCCCAGGATGCACCAAAAAAAAGAAGAAAAAAGTTAAGGTTTATAACAGACAGCTTTTGGTAATGTTAGAAGAGCTATATGACAGATATACCACAAGAACAAGTTTGAAGAATGAGTTCTATGGAAGAAGACTTGGAAGGGTCTCACGTCTAGTAAATCTAGAGATGTGGGTTTGAATTCATGGGTTTTCAGGAAAGTTTATTAATCCCTTTGGGTTTTGCTTCCCTGATTTATAAAATGGGAAAACAATAGCTACTTTATAGACAGCTTTTTTTTAAGCCAGAAGCCTCAAGATTAGCCTTTACTATATTGTATATATACATTTTTTTTGTGGTGCAGGATTGAATTTTGGGCCCCTAGTCATGTACATATACATATTAATAGTTCTTTCAAAGGTGTTGATATTATATATAAATACATCTATATCTCTCATATATAACATTAATTATATAAATAGTAATATAAAAATAATATATAATATGTTAACATGTATAATGTTTTATATGTGTATATATGTATATATATTTTGCCTCAATAGAGGAATATAGAAAACAAGATCTTGCCTATTACAAACAATGTCGCAGTAAGGCATATGCCTATGACTTGAATTGCAGGATTTTAAGATATGTTTGCCGGGCTGGAAAGGTGGCTCAGTGGTAGAGCGCTTGCCTTGCATGCATGAGGCCCTGGGTTCGATTCCTCAGCACCACATAAGCAGAAAAAAAAAAGCTGGAAGTGGCGCTATGGCTCAAGTGGTAGAGTGCTAGCCTTGAGCTGAAGAGCTGAGGGACAGCGCCCAGGACCAGAGTTCAGGCCCCACGACTGGACCCCCCCCCCAAAAAAAAAGAAAAAAAAAAAGATACGTTTGCCTTCAACCTTACGACATTTTGCTAAACTGTTCTCTAATTAGTTGTACCAGTTGACACTTATATCAGCAATGTATCAGTTCTTGTTGCTTCACACTATGCTCCACATAGTCCTAATATTTTAGATGTTTACATTGTTTACATGCTGCTGATGGGCCAATGTGAAGTTATATCTAAATATTTTAATATGAATATGCTTGAATATTTAATATGAATATGCTGTTTGCAGACAGTTCTCCAAGTGTCTCTCATGTTTCTGCTTACTTTATGAGCAGAAGTACTGACAGCTTTTGTTCTAGACTATGTTTTCAAACATGTTTGTATATTGAACAGCCTTGGACAATTAAAAGATAATGTTTCTAAAAAAAAAAAAAAAGATAATGTTTCTAACCAGGCACTGGTGGCTCACACCTGTAATCCTAGCTACTCAGGAGGCTGAGATCTGAGGATAGCATTTTGAAGCCAGCCTGGGCAGCAAAGTTTATGAGACTCTTACCTCTAATTAAGCACCAAAAGTTAGAAGTGGAACTGTGGCTCAAGTGGTAGAGGACTCACACGCGTAAACAGAAAAGGGATAGTGTTTCTGTCCAGAGCAGAAGCAGACTTATCTACTGACCAACATAATAAAAATATGTTCATTAGGGCAAGAATCAGGCAGGTTTCTTGAAGCTCATAATAAAAGATTTCTTAAGATTAGGGTTCCGGCCTGGCGCCAGTGGCTCATGCCTGTAATCCTAGCAACTCAGGAGGCTGAGATCTGAGGATTGCGGTTCAAAGCCAGCCCGGGAAGGAAAGTCCGTGAGACTCATCTCCAATTAACCATCAGAAAATCAGAAGTGGCATGGTGGCGCAAGTGGGAGAGCACTGGCCTTGAGCTGAAGAGCTCAGGGATAGTACCCAGGCCCAGAGTTCAAGCCCAAGACTGACAAAAAAACAAAACAAAAAAGATTAGGATTCTTAAGCTGCAACACATAATGCATGCAGTCTCAGTACCCTGTGTTATAGATAATAAAGTTTTAGTCTCTGATGCAAGAATTTCTTTGTCTTTTGCCTATGACAATGAAGTTGGGCTAATTTGACTGCAGGCAAGTAGTTCTTGATAGGTAAAAGATGAGGTTAATAATCTTTTCTTGTTTTTATGCACTGTATGGGTCTTCTCATTTGTTAATTGATCACTGATTTTTTTGGGGGGGCTATTTTTCTACGGGTTGTTATTATCATTGACTAAGTAGATGTAGTCTTTATATTGCAAAAACTAAGCCTATGGAGGTTATCTGCATCATAGTATTTTCTTGTCTTTAGCTTGCATTTTTATTTTGCTTTGTTTTATAGAAGTTTCAAACTTATAGTCAAATTATCAAAATTTATAGTATGTACTTTTTGTGCTTTGGAAAGAAACATTTCATATTCAGTATTTTTTAAATGTTTAAATGTTTTCTTTTTTCTGTTTTAACTTCAATCTATTTCATATTGATTTACATGAGTGGTAAGTTGTCCTGGTTATCTGTTGTTGTATAGCAAGCGACTCAAAACCTACTGGCTTACCCTTTTCAATTGAAACAGGGTCTGGCAAACCTCAGATAGTATCAACTCCTATATATGTACACTTTTTCCAACATATACTACCTATGGTAAGGCTTAATTTACAAATTAGAGACAGTAAGATATTAATAGCAATAACTGACAAAGCAAAATAATGATAACTATATACTATAAAGAAGCTATTTAAATATGGTTTCTCTTTAAGTATCTTATTACCCTGCACTCATCATTTTTCTTGTGATGATATGAAATGACACAATGCCTCTATGATAAGATATAGGAATGCCCCAAATACTGTGATATGTTAGACTACTATTAAACTGTCAATTGAACACAAGCATTGTGATCTGATTGATCTGATTAACTGAGACCACTACTAAGCAACAAATGTGTGAATGCAGCATGAATAGGCTGATAAAGGAATGATTAATCTTCCAGGTTGCTACAGAAGAATGGTGTAGAATTTCATCACCCTACTCAGAACAGTGTGGTATTTAAAAATTATTATTAATGTAATTTTTAGAACATTTCATACTTTTGGACCACAGTTGATCAATGGTAGTTAAAACAGCAAAAACAAAACAACCTTCAGATAAAGGAGCTACTGTACATTAAAGGAAGTAGTTCTTATAGGAGAGATATAGATTCTACTGTGATAATGACTGGCATCTTAGATATCGCTGACAATACCAATTATACAATATGAATTTTCAACGGGGGGCTGAAGGAATCTCTATTTCTGATGGTGGTGCAGAAATGCTTAATTTAGTGTGACTGCATCTAAGAATTTTAACAGATCATCAACAAAAGTTATTATTTCTGCTAGGTTGGATAAAATATCTTACCATAATGAAGAGCTGTTTGGCCTTCATTGTCCTGTAAAAGAAACAAGTAATACATTTTAGAAGTGTACAAAAAGACAAGGATAATGAAAACTATTTTGCTGGTCAATTAAGACTTTTCTGCCTGGGCTTACTTTGGACCTTAATCTTCAGATCTCGGTCTACTAAGTAGTTAGGATTATAGGTGTGGAGCCACTGGCACTCAGCTCATATAGCTTTGCTCATTTTATCAATAAACACTAAGTATGTATTCTCCAGTCCAGTTTCTAATTAAAAATATATTATGAGTTCCTATAATGTCCCGAGTCATGGTGGTTCCTGGCACTGGGAACACAGACATGAATGAGATAGAGAACACCTCTGATGCTAGAAATCTTATATTCTAGGCAGTAAGCTGGGCACTGTGATACATGCTTATAATTCTGGCTACTTGGGAGCAGAGGCAGGGAAATTACTGGAGCCCATGATTTCAAGGCAAGTGTAGGCAACATAGCAGACCCTGTCTTAAACAGAACTGAGAAACAAGGCTCAGGTGGTGAATGCATGGAAAGAAAGCAACAAAAGTAAGAGTTAGGCACTTGAGTAGTGTGAGGTACTATTTTAGAGAAAGCAGGGGCTTGATGAAGTTTTTAAGATGGCTATGTAACCCAAACAACAGATCACAGAATCTGTTGCCATCTTGAACTTGAAGCAAATGTGCTATCAGAGCCATGACTAAAAATTAAAGAGTTTTCTCTCAGGATTTTTCAAAATGGACTATGGGATGGAACTGTGTCAGGAAGGTCATTTACTCTGAGCAAAACTAGAGTATAGTGAAATAAATCAGAAACAAAAGGCAAATATTGTATGATTCTACTTACATGTCACACCCAGAGAAATCAAATTCATAGAGAACGCAAGTAAAATAGTCGTTAACAGGGTGGGCAGGGTAGGAAGGGAAGCATGGGAGTTAGTGTTTAACCAGTGCAAAGTTTCAGTTGATGATAGTGAGTGATAGTTACACAACAGTACAAATGAATATAATGCCACTAAGCTGTATACTTAAAAAGGACAAATTTTGTTGAGTATATTTTGTCACAAGAACAATGGAAAGATATAAGTTCTAAACTGCAAATGACAATGTTCATTTTTGGGAAAAATCCATTTGTAGTAGGAGAGAATGAAACATTTACAGAGAACCAGGTAGTGGTTAGAGATAGAGAGACTCTGGTTTTTTGTCTTTCTAGCTATATCCCTGCCTTTCGTAAGTAAGGCAACAACTGCTCCCTAGACAAATTAATCTTTTTGTCACCTGCAAGCACAGAATACTGTCTAATTCTATGATCTATTTTTTGCTCATCTATCTCCCAATTCATTGACTGCCAATTCCTAGTTAAGAATAGTGATCTGGACTTGCATAGCTATAAATGCTCTTCACTAAACTAAAAAAACTACCCTCCAACTTTTCAAAAACAATATCATGTCTTCTCTCATGTTTCAAAATTTGCTTTCTCTCTTTCTTTCTTATTTATTTATTTATTTTGGGTCCAGTCGTGGGGCCTGAACTCTGGGCCTGGGCGCTGTCCCTCAGCTCTTCAGCTCAAGGCTAGCACTCTACCACTTGAGTCACAGCGCCACTGCCAGTTTTTTTTTTTCCTGCTTATGTGGTGCTGAGGAATCGAACCCAGGGCCTCATGCATGCAAGGCAAGCGCTCTACCACTGAGCCATCTTTCCAGCCCCTCTTTCTTTTTGTGCTGGTCCTGGGACTTGAACACAGGACCTGGGTGCTGTCCCTGAGCTTTTTTGTTCAAGGCTAGTGCTCTACCACTTGAGCTGCAGCCCCATTTTGGGTTTAACTGGAGATAAGAGTTTTATGGACTTTCCTTTCCCCGGCTGGCTTTCAACCACAATCCTCAGACTTCAGACTCCTGAGAGAAGATTAGGATTATAGGTGTGAACCACAGGTTCCTAGTTTTGATATTTTTGATCATTAAAATTAGGCCTATTGTGGAAACATCAGGAACTTGGACCTTATGCAATAAACAAGTTGCTACATTAGTTAAGGACATGGATTCTGCCAAAAGCCATGTGAACTTGGAAGAGCCTCAGGTGACTTTCAACCCTAGGCAATGCCTTGTGCAGATGCCTGCCTTACTCCCCCCCCCCCCCCCCCACATATGTGTGTATACTATATATACCATACTTCTAAATTGTTTTCTGTAACAGAAAACTCTCTTAAGCTGGGTGCCGGTGGCTCACGCCTGTAATCCTAGCTACTCAGGAGGCTGAGATCTGAGGATCGAGGTTCAAAGTCAGCCCAGGCAGGAAAGTCCATGAGACTCTTATCTCCAATAAACTACTCGAAAACCAGAAGTGGCGGTGTGGCTCAAGCGGTAACACGTGGTAGAGTGCTTGCCTTGAGCTGAAGAGCTGAGGGACAGCGCCTAGGCCCAGAGTTCAAGCCCCATGATCGACCAAAAAAAAAAAAAAAGTAAACTCTCTTGAGTGTTACTGGATTTCTTTACGATCGTAATGACTGATGCTCTAATTTACGTCACATTTGAGCCACCATCTCCACTAATGCTTGTTGTAGAGATGTAGTTAAGAAAAAAAAAGAGTTGTATTATAGGGTTGGATTTTTCCATGACATGGCTAAAGAGAATTTTTTTTTCCTATCCAGTGATTTGACACTTAAAATACAAATTTTGTGTAAAAATAGTGTTTCTAGCCAGGCTGGACTCTGGTGGCTCATGCCTGTAATCTTAGCTACTCAGGAGGCAGAGATCTGAGGATCATGGTTCAAAGCCAGCCCAGGCAGGGAAGTCCATGAGATTCTTATATCCAATAAACTACTAAGAAAAAAGCCAGAAGTGGAGCTGTGGCTCAAGTGATAGGAAAAATTCAGGGGTAGTTCCCAGGCCCTGAGTTCAAGCCTCAGAACTAGCCCCCCTCCCAAAATAGTGTTTCTAGCCAATACATAAAAGAAAAGCACTGAAACAAACTGGTTGTAAAGAACTGAAAATAGTGGTAAAAATTATGAGTTAGTAAATGTAGTTTTGAGCAAGTTTAGGTATTTCTATGGTTAAAATGTATTACCTCTCTATAGGATCTGTGACTAAACAGATGATAGCTAAAACTGAAAGTCTGAAAAAGTCAGGTTTTGAAGTAGTTTGCTAGATATATGTCCTTCAGCTACAGGTTTTGGGCTAACTTCTCTTTTGGATTAGCACTTTTAGAGAATGAGGCAGTTTGAGGGGCTTCAACTCAGGGCCTGGGAGCCTTCCCTGAGCTTTTTTTTTTTTTTTGCTCAAGGTTAGTATTCTGCTGCTTTGAACTACAGTTCTAAATCTGGTTTTTAGGTTGTTAATTGGAGATAGGAGCCTCAGACTTTCCTGCCTGGGTGGGCTTCAAACTGTGAACCCTGAGATCTCAGTCTCCTGAGTAGCTAGGTTACAGGAGTGCTGGCAATTTTTTTTTTTTAATTTTTTTTTTTTTTTTTTTTGGTCCAGTCGTGGGACCTGAACTCTGGGCCTGGGCGCTGTCCCTCAGCTCTTCAGCTCAAGGCTAGCGCTCTACCACTTGAGCCACGGCGCCACTTCTGGCTTTTTTTCTTTTTGCTTATGTGGTGCTGAGGAATCGAACCCAGGTCCTCATGCATTCAAGGCAAGCGCTCTACCACTGAGCCACCTTCCCAGCCCCTTTTTTTTAATTTTTAAAAATTTTATTGTCAAGGTGATATACTGAGGAGTTACAGTTACATAAGTAAGGTAGTAAGTACATTTCTTGTCTAACTTGTTACCCCTTCCCTAATTTTTCTCCCTCTTTCCCGTTTCCCAAGCCCCCCAAGTTGTACAGATCATTTCCAACATACTGTCTTGTGATTATTGCTGTTGCATAAATTCCCCCCTTTGTCCTTTGTCTTACCATTTTGTTGTTCCCCTTCCCTTCCTTAGCTCAGATAAACATATACACAATACCCAGGGTACCAAAATCAAATATAGTGACAACAGGGGATAAACCATAGGGGGAAAACACAAAAGAAAAAAGAAATCACATAGTATATTGAGAACAACAATAAAGAAAAACCTCGCGTATTCACGTCTTGGAGTTCATTTTGCTTAGCATCATCTTATATGGTCATATGTATATAGCTATTGAGGTATTCTGCTCATCTGCTAAGATTATCCTAGATGTATACTATTACAAATAGGGGAGACCATGGGACCTATGTTTCTATGGGTATGGTTTACTTCACTTAATATGATTTTTTCCAAGTCCTTCCATTTCCTTACAAATGAGGTAGTGCCATTCTTTCTGATAGAAGCATGAAATTCCATTGTGTGTGTGTGTGTGTGTGTGTGTGTGCACGCGCGTGTGCGTGTGTGCGCGCGCGTGTGCGCGCATGCCCATATATATATGTAATATATCACATTTTCTTGATCCATTCATCTACTGAGGGGCATCTGGGTTGCTTCCATATCTTAACTATGGTAAATAATCCTGCAATAAACATAGTTGTGCTGGTAGCTTTAGTGTGGCCTTGTTTGTAGTCATTTAGGTAAATAGCCAGAAGTGGAATTGCTGAATCATAGGGGGAGCTCTATGTGTAGTCCTTTGAGGAGCCTCTATACTGCTTTCCAGAGTAGCTGAACAAGTTTACACTACTACAAACAATGTAATAGCATTCCCTTTTGGCCACATTCCCTCCAGCATCTGCTGTTATTAGATTTCTTGATTATAGCCATTCTAACTGGGGTGAGGTGAAATCTCAATGTTGGTTTTAATTTGCATTTCTTTTATGACCAGAGAAGTTGAGCATTTCTTCATATGTCTATTGGCCATTCTTATTTCCTCATCAGAAGTCTCTCATTAAGTCTTTAGTCCATTATTAATGGGGTGGTTTTGAGTAGTTATTTTTGGGGGATTTAATTTATTGAGTTCCAAATATATTTTAGATATGAGGCCCTAGTCTGTTGAATGGCTAGTGAAGATCTCCCAATCTGTGGGCGTTCTATTGATCTTGCTAGCTATGTCCTTTGCCATGCAGATGCTCT